GCAGGTCAAGCCATTTCTATAAATTGAAAGGAGACTAGGACCATACCAGAGACCACAACATCTTGGTCTTGATGGCATCTATCTTTTTTTGGATTATAACGATCATTATTTATTAATGGAAGATATGAAGAAAAAGATGATTTTGACTTGACACATTACAGACGATGACGAATGTGAGCTTAGTGAAGAGTCTTGGAATATTTCATATTCACCGTCCGACACTGGAAATTATAATGACCACTATTGCAGAGGACTCTTGTCAAAGCTCATTATTATTTATTACTTTTCAAAAATCAGGCTATTGCATGCAGTGGATTTGCACCAAATAAAGAGCAGAATTCCATGAAATTCTTGAAATTGAGAAACGAGAGTTTAGAATTTTACTCCAATTAATTGGCTTTTTTAATATCCTCTTAGAATTCTGAGACTGCCGAATTGGATTGGTCCTTTTTGGGTTACAACTAGAGATTTATCAAAAATGATATTTTTTAATGTAAGCAATAAAATTCTTTTTAGAAGGCAATTGCTCTTGAAATTTTCTACCCTTATTAAACCAAGTTTTGAAGTTGTCAATTATAGTGTTCCCCAACTCCATATTTCATACTTAAGATTTATTTAAGCGCGATTCTTAATGCAAATATTTCCCTGAAAGTTTTAAATTTTATAGGTTTTATTTTTTTTGTAGTGCATTAATTCAAATTGTATTGATTAATATTTTCCTATTTTGTCTAAATAAACTCCCAAACAGGTACTTTCATTTAATTTTGCTGCTTATATAGTTAATTTAATTTTTCAGCATTTAGATCCTTTTTCCTGAAATCAAAGATTATTATTTTTATTTTTAGCTTTCCCATTGATTTCTGAAGCATACTTTGAGCTCTTCCTGAGTTTTTTTACAGAATCATATTTATTTTCTATGATTTTAATGTAATCAGACCACTATCGGATAGAACTGATTATAGTCAAATCTATCATTCTATCTCTTCTTTTTTTCTCCGGCCTACTCCGATAACTCGTACTTCATCACTAGCCTCTCCACTCAACTAATCGACGTCCCGACTGCTTGCCGTTCGGATTGCCTCTCCGGTCCAATCCTATCTATCGGTGGGCTTGTGGAGGCCACAAAAGTTCTAGATCTGTTGTCTCTTCAGCAATCTCTCAAGATTCAGTCCCTCCGAGACCAGTATCTACTGAAAATCCATTCTTACCGGAGTCTGCTTCTCATCCGGCTACACAAAACTCCTCCTCGTCCACGATTACTAGTCAAAGCAATGATACAATCGCCTTGGTTTCCTCCAGTGCCCCAACTTCTACTGACCCTTGGCTCTGCCAATCCGTTTTGAACGATTTTATCTCCTCGCCTTCAGCGAAAGCCCTCACTGGAACTAATCCCTGTCTTCCTGACTCCACTCATCGAGATTCGGGATGCCGAGCAATTGAGGGCTCGACCCTGGCTGAAGGTTTGCTTCCTCTGCCGGACCTGCCTCCAGGGCTCCATAATGGCATGTCCATAATGAGCTCTAGGTCTAACGCTACTCGGTTTGGACAGGTGGAGAGCTATTTCCTAAAATATTGCTATTATTCAAGTTATATAAATACCTCTATTTTAAAATCTGCTTTCCACAGGTAGCCTAGCAGCATTGATGTAACACTTAAGCCTAGCAAATATAGAAGGGGGTTGACCTCGTTGTCACAACTTGGTCTTGTTGTCAGGTCGACTGTGTTGAATGCACATAGTCCGAAGTCGTCTGCCATAGTAGTTGTCAAGATTCCCAGCATCGGACTGTTGACTTGACACATTCTCAAACGTTTCGCCGGCATCGTAGTCGGCATCATAACTGAGCTTTGCCATTCTTCGAACCAAGCTACGAACTCGTCAAAAAAACAAATGAAGTCCATCCCTCGACAACCGTTCTGCCAAAAACGGTTACAATAACACTCCTCTTGCTGTCATTGCCTATCTACTATTTACACTCTTATCCCACAACTTCTCACTTGTTTACACTCCATTCGCCAAAATGTGTGCCCCTCTGTGGCAAACCAAATGTGGGTTCATCACACTTGCTATTTACCCCGACCTATCTCTTTCGATGGGCTTATCCGACTCGGGCCTCCAATCAGCATCCCTTCATTGTCTTGTAGATCCGTTTCTTTTCTTTCTGGTTGACCGATTTCACTCGGTTCCAGTCCCTGTGTGCATTTCACTCCAGGCGCTATTTC